CTGCAGTGCAATACGGAGGCAACGCTGGAAGGGTCGAGCAGGCAAGCCTACCCATATGACCCCTCCGTACCCCTGGAAAATTAGTTTAATATGGTAGTGGCCCAATGGACCACGGATCAGATATTAAACCCTCTGGATGTATCTGGACGTATGAGAGTTACCTTGGGCACTCGACCATGTGGCTGAGGCCCCCTATTCGTAATATTCCTACGGCGGCGACAACAAACCCTCCAGGAGCGGCAAGTACGCAGAAGCCCTTGCCATGTACCAGATCTGCGTGGAACGTGATCCGGAGGACGTAGCCGCTCACCGAAACATGTCCGCTGTGCACATAGCAAGAAAGGAATGGCTGAAGGCTTGGACGCATGCCAAGAAAGCTCAAGAGCTCGATCCCTCGAACACGAAAAGTCATTACAGACGGGCGTACGCCTTGCTCATGTTGGGATGCTATGAGGATGGAGCAAAGTTGATGGAGGATCTGGAAGCAAAGGTATTATCATCATAAGTTAAAGCTCTTACCACCTTCACAAAAAAAAAAAAAAAAAAAAAAGTAAAAGAAGTAACAATTTTGGAAAATAATAAAAAGGGAAACTCTCCATAACCATCAACATCCAAAAAAGGAAAAAGAGAAAGATGGAGGATCTGGAAGCAGTGGTATCGTCATCATATTACCAGCTTCAATAGATTAAAAGAAAATGAGAAATTATATAAATGAGTTACTCGCGATTAAGAACTAATGGATTTTTAATTAAAATTTAAAATAAATGAAATGAAATGAAAAAAATTGAAAAGACGCCACCACCACCACCTCCACCGCAAAACTTCCCAAGCACTTAGGTTAACAGACCCCAAGAAAAATCAAACTATAAACTGGGTGATGCTCCCGGTCCCTGTAGGGAGGGGAAAAAAAAAAAAAAAAAAAAAAAAAAAAAAAAAAAAAAAAAAAAAAAAAAAAAAAAGATTTTTACTTAGGTATTAAAGTTTAAAAGTTCTATAAAATTTTGATTTTATTATACAAGAATATACCCCGAATGGCATGAGGCGACGAAGAAAAAAAAAAAAAAAAAAGCAAGAGAAAAAAAAAAAAAACAAGAAACAAAAAGGAAACAAACGGGTGAAAACAGTACCCCTTTTCTCTATTTTGATAAAATAGGAAAAACGGAGTAGTAAAAGGAAAACAGTTTTCTTGAAGTGCTTTTGAATCTCCTTTTCATTATTTATTTATATAAATTTAAAAGAGTAACACACCACTAGCAGTGCTCTCTTCCCATCTAATCGCACTGGCAGTGGGATTGCACTCTGGGGCCTGGGCATGTGGACACTCCCTGATTTTATTTTTTTGATGGGCCCTTAAAGTTTCTGCACCCACCAAAAGCATCCCGTATCCGGGCTCTTTCTCCATTTGGGGGAAGAAGGGGGTATGAATGCAGCTTGAAGGTTTGTTGTAGAGTATGTGGAGACAAAATTGTCACACACAAGTACAAAGTCCACGCAGATTGATGCGTAATACGCAAGATGCGTAACACACTCAAGCTGATGCATAGTCAAGTACAGTGAAAATTCAAATATCAAATTCAAATATCAACAAAAACAAGTTCCGTTCCTGTAGGTATGACTACCCCGATCGGTTTCGACC